TATATGAGATGGAAGGACAAGTCCGCGTCACGTACTGACGCGGCTCGCTAACGGAGGATTTTAACGTTTTTGTGGAAACGGCAGGGTGGCACGTCAGCTTGCGGAGGAGGCTGACGGCGGACCGCGACATGAAGGCGCAACCGATTGTTACAACACGACGAAACCAACCTAATTGGAATCCACCCACCCATCGAATCCATTCGTCGTCAAGAGGCAGCAAGAATCTGTGGCTTTTCTCCTCCCGTCGTCGTCGTCGCAGCCACAGGTTCCTCCATCCAACCCTCACCTAATCCTCTCTCTTTCTCTGCTTCATGTGACGCGTTCCCGGCAACTCCATCTCCGGCCGCACATCGCGGCTAGGAGCTCCCCGGTACTGATTTCGCCCTTTTGTTTCGTTTTTCTGTAATTAATCTGTGTCATGTGAATTCCTCGGTACGTGGAAAGCGCAAAGCTTCCATCTTTGTTGTTCTGTGAGTCTGTGACGACGCGGAGAATCTTTGGGTTTGTGAATCTCGGGTTTTGGGTTTAACGAGACGGAAGAATTGAGTATGCGTTGCTCTTGCGATCTACGCCACATCAAAAAGATTAAAAAAAACACACACAAACGCTGAATTGCTTGTTAGGTTTTGCTATGGCTTGTTTGGCGAGTGTTGGATCTTTCCGGCTCTATGGGTGTTTCCTTTTGTTGGTTGGATTCTTTGTATCGAAAATTGGTTTTTTGAGGAAAGAATTCTCAATTATGCAATTGGTTTATGACTTGGGATGCATCATGACTGAATGCATGTAGTGAATTCTGTTTGATGTTTTTTGTTTGTCAGAAGGGCCCGGTTTATGCTGGAATTCTACTGCAACAAAAGCTTTGGCTAGTTCTTTGGGGCAGAGTAGGTTGTGGAAGTCTTTACTTTTTAGGGGGGGAAAAGGAGGAGTTTGTTGGGAACAGATTTGCAGTGAGAGACTGAATCTTCTATAACACTTTTTAGTGTGGAACCTTATGACGGAGAGTGATCATGTATTTGGAAAGCTTCCCGATCATCTTCTCATAGAAATTTTTGTCCGCGTACCTATCTGTGAGTGGTCTCAGGTCTCATGTGTCAACAAGCACTGGGCTGCGATATTTCGAGGGGAGAGCTTCTGGCAAACTGCTGTCATCAGAACCTGGCCGTTTGCTTGCCAGAGGAAACGGTGGCCTGGACCTATTCCTCGTGGTTCTGGTAGGAGGTGAGTTTTCTGGAAAAAAAAAAAAAAACTTATGCATTCCAGCTTATTTATTCATTTGCTGTTTCTTTTGATGAATCCCATACCCAGTTAGCTTAGAACAGTTTCTTTGTTTTCTTTCCTCCCTTATTTTGTCATATTTTGTTCCCTTTTCGTAAACATTGGCAATTCAAACAAAAATTCGTTTCGTGCCAATTTTGTCTGATTAGTGAGGGCTATATTTTAGTAATGAAGGAGATACTCTATAGCTTTGTACAAAAAAAGTGCATGGCATCTGTTTGTATTATGAAACTTTAGCCGGTGATTTATAATTATGTGTAATCCCCTAAAACACGTGAATTAGGGTTTTTGCATTTGTCTTCTCCAAGGTGTACTTTCTCGTGCACTAATCCAGTTGAAAATATATCTAGTGATTCCATGTGAGATCTCGTAATGAATAACATGGAAAAGTGAATAATTCATTGATTGTGAAACCACAACTTGTGAAATAAAATCATAAAAGTTCCAGGAAGCACGGTGGAAAAGGTCTGCTCACTAAAAGTCTAGTAGCGTCAAGAAAGTAGATCAGATAGGTTCAACGCTCATTTTGAACAGCTAATGTCAATATAGGAAATGCTTGTAGAAGACTGAATCCCGAGAACATAAACCTCTATTAGTGAGGTGCCTGCACAGAAGTGCTATAGCAATGTTAGAATCAGGGTCTTAATGAAGTTACATGGCTTACTAATTAGGTGAATTTATATGCTGGACTTAAGTCTGTAAGAACTGCAACAATCTCATCTTCTAATTTAAATTGATTTGCTATTACAATACCAATTATGAAATCTTTTGTGTTTTCTGTTCATAACAGAAGTCTAGTTTACAGAGAATTTTTATTGACGATTACCTCTATTAGTGCAGAAGTTTGTATATTATGGATTATGTCATATAGGAAGATGCCATTTTGTTCGACTTCTCAGGCTTATCTACCTAAATGATGAAAATCAGATGATGAAATCCAAAAGCATGCATGAGGAGATGTTATCTCCTCATGCATGCTTTTGACAAGGTAATGTGCTCTTATCTGTCCAATCTGCATCTTTAAATCCATAGTTAAATACCACCCTGTCTCGGCAAGCATGCTTTTTGACAGTGCTTAAAGTGTTTGCATGTACCTGACGTTAACCACGGGTGATAGCCATTTTAGTGGACATTGGGTAATTCAGGTCTAATATATAAATCAGAAATAATCAATCTCTGACTGGAAATGTGAGAAAAATAGATGAAGTAATTAATTTTTTGTGAAGTCTTGTCAATCAACAAGAAAAAGTGAGAAGGTTCCTATAGATGCAATGTATTGTTGTATTTCTTGTTATTTTTTGCAAGAGTCAAAAATTAATTTTGTGTTTATTCCAACAAGAGTTTGCTAACTATTGTATTGTTTTCATGGAACAGGAGATATGCAGCATTATATGTTAGTGAACACATTATTGCATCAAATGGTGAAATTGACGAACTTTTGGGTCATGCTTACTTGTATCTTAAAGAGCAGCTTGAGCTTTCAACAATGACTCCTCCTTCTAGCATCCTACATGGAACCATGATTGGTTGGTTTTTTATCTACAATGCTCTTTTTTCCCTTGCTTGACACATCCTTTATCTGTATTGCTTGTTTTGGATTAGAGAGAGCTGAATAACCTGACAACAGAAGGATCATTTAGAAAATATCGTTCTTCTTTATGGCTTCCAGTAGAATTGTAGGTATGAAATTTGACTTCACAATCGGAAATTAGATGACCTAGGCTGATTGACTTTTATATTGTAATATGTCTTTTTTGATCTATTCGCTAGTTTGCTAATAAGAACTTTTTTTAATATACCAGAAGGGATAACAAAATCATGTTGCTGAACCTGTCCTTAGTCAATTGTTTCATCATTGCCAATCTTGAACCTTCAATAACATAAACATACATACTTTTTTACTGTTGCCTCACTTTGCTTTCTTACTGTTTTAATGGGCTCTAGCATGGAATGTACTATGAAAATATTTCAGAAATGTTAATCACACATTGCTGCCACTGAAATGAGGATTCTGATATGGGTGCTTTTTATTTGTAGAAGATAAAACAAGAATTTTTTATCATTTGAACAATTGAAGGCAGTTCTCTGTTGAGGGTATGATGAGAAAATTGTTTGATTTGGTCTGGACATGTTCAAACTAGACTCATAAATGCACTAGATAGGCAAGGTGAGTTAACTCAGATTGGTGATGTGAAGAGAGATGTAGGAAGAGTAGTTAGGCTAGTTCTTATTATAACCAACAAGAAATTATTGTATAGATTCTTAACTGGACCAGTCATTTGTCAATAGAGCTTGATGAAAGAAGCCATATGGGCAACCTCCTTGCTGATGTTGTACCAATCACATATTCCACCAGTATGAAAAGAGACTAGAAGACTCTCTATTTCCCATTGATGTAAGGAGTTTAGTCCATGGTCCTAAATCATGAGCGAACCATCTGAAAATTAAAATTGTTTGTCAATCATCCCAGTGCAAAAATGGTAACTGGATACATATCTCTTGTTCTTTGGAAAAAGTACTCCCAAGTTCAAAACCTGTCTGAGCAATTGGTTGATGAATATTCACTGTTGAGTGTTTCATGATGCTCATGAGCCTCCGTGATGCTGCGGACTGTCTGGGTTTGCCAAATTCTACTGCATCCATAACTTTGCAGTGTTATTATACCTGTAAACAATTTCTACACAGGGACTCAGTTCATATCCGCACAGCTTACTTGAGAGCAGCCGAATATGCTCCTTCTCACCATAGAAATATCTGAAGGTCTATGAAACCATGACGAGAGTTTTAGCCATTTTTAGCTCCATAATTACTATTGCGTTAAGAATTGGAATTGTAAACAGAGTTCTTAGACACTTTGCTTCAAGATATTCTCAACTTTCTATTCTAAGTACTACCGTCAAACAATTAGTAAAGTCGGTATGGGAATTATAGATCACCTAGGATCATGGCTTAATTGTTTCTTACTTGAGTTTCACGTTTCTTTCTGCTCCATCATCATAGTGAATATGATTATACCATGCATTCCTTTATTGGTCTGTATTTGCAGCAACATATATGATTCTATAACTAATCATAGAGTTCTTGTTTCCCTGTTAGATCAATTTATTGCCTGTGGTAGGTCAAGAGACAAGGCTCATGAGCTTGCTTCAGAGATTTGGCTAGCAGTCATCAACAATCTTGAAGAAAATCAACACACATTTTTGCTGTTAAAACGTCTTGCACAAGAGGGAGATGTAAGCATCTTTGTTTCTTCCATTCTCTTTTCATGTTATAAATTTTGGTTTCCTCATGGTTTGTAGGTAGAAACAAAAGACAACAATGACTACTGTTATTATAGAGAAATAATTTTTACATTCAGAATTTCCTTTAAGTCCCTTGGAAACAAATATTTGGTCTATGGATTACCTTTTATTGAAAATCATTATAAGACGTGCTAAGCAAGCGCTCTACGGGACATTTGCCTAACCTAATTTATATGATTCCTCGATGCCATATGTTAGGCAATGGCTAAATTTCCTTTGGGGTTAATGCTGGCCCTTTTATCCACTATTCAGAATTTCAGATATTCTGCCAGTGTACCAATTCGAAGTTTAAAAAGGAGAAGTTTCACATACGACACTCTTGCCAGCATTAATTTTGAAAGGCCATTGGTTCATGACAAATCAAATATTACTGCTCAAGTTAGCTACTAATGTTGCCTTTCCAACGTGGGTAAACTAGTGTGCTGCATACCATTCCTCACTCTAGCATGACCACTTTCAGTTGTTTGCATAACAGTGGAAACTATACCACTTTGTGCTATTCCATCTCATTTGAGAGGTTGATTGGAATTATGATGAGGCCATCAAATGGGCATCGGATGACACACTATTGTGTATGACTTTTGAGTAGCAATTGCAACATACAGATATTATTGTTAGCAATAATTCTAGTGTGACATTCAGTGGACAAGATCCTCTTGTTATTTGTAGATGAAATTATCTTGTTAGAATTGGGTTAACTTGGCGTTCAAAGATAAACTATGTTCGGATGCTTTTAATTCATTACACGAAAAGAAATTCATGTCGAGCGTAACGATTCATCATTTTCTTTCATGCAGTTTTTTCTTCCATTTCCCTACACAAGATCCTACAAGGTGCTGTGCAGGGTATTCGAGAAGCTGTTTACTGACTTCCGCGATTGTTTGAGCCGTGAAGATTACTATGATGTGTTGGCATGTGCCAAGTCAAGGTTCCGGCCAATCCCATCCACTTGGCTGGGGTACTAGCTCTGTTCATTTCTGTTAGTTGCCGGTTGAAACTTTATATGCAGTTGGTCATCTCATTTTGTGCCAATACCCATGATCAGCTTTTCGCAAGCTTCGACAAGCTATTTATATGTTTGGGTTTGAACTAGTTGTAATTTTTCATCTCAGATTGTGCCTACCATCTGCAAATGAATTGTCTTATCAAAAATACATGTAGCACTTGTTTCAGCTGAGCTTATAACTGTCTATCATATCAAATCTCAGTAACTCAATTGTCTGCAGATCCAACTTCGATTGCATTGGAATGTCTTGCAGGTTTAGAGTTAAATTTGATTAAAAGTCTTTTATGGTTCTTTTATTTTTACCTTTCATATGTATAAACATAAAACATGTGCACTAAAATTGAACTGGGTTATGGGTAATTTTCAAGAAAAAGCCTCTAGGAATGGGCTTTTACCACTTGGCACCTCATAATTGATTTTTTTTTTTCACGGGTCACTTTATTTTTTTTAAAAAATTGATAATGTCGTTGAATCCGATTATTTTAAATCACAAATCCATCGGATCGAATTTTATTGAATTTACGAGTGTAATTAAAATATCTCCATCAAGTCAATTCAAATTGTTCCAAGACTACTAACATATTTAGCATTATTTTTTAAATTTCTTATGATTTTAGGATGAATAATTTTTTTAATAAGATATTTTTAGGTTAAATCAGTGATCAAGTGTAACTCGTTGAATTTTTATTAAGTCTATCTAAACTTTCTTCAAAATTAATAGGGTGAGATGATAACATATTTAATATTATATTTTTTATTTTTATAAATTTAAAATAATTAATTTTTAAAATAAAAATATTTTTGAATTAAATATATAATCGAATATAATTCGAATGTAATACGAGTGAAGTGTAACTCTGTAACTCTTTAAATTTTCATTAAATTTATCTAAGTTTTTTTAAAACTATTAAACTAAGATATTAATTTATTTAATATTTTTTTATTTTTTTTATAAATTTAAGATGGTTAGTTTTTGAAATAGTATATTCTTTATTTGTAATAATTTTTTTAATTAAACCGTGATAAAAGAGGAGGAGAAGGGGAAAGAGGCGACGATGAGGAGGTGACGATGGAGTGTGAGGAGGATGAGAAGTGGGGAGGAGGAGGAACCGTTACTGGAGATGGAGTGGAAGAGGAGGAGGAGGCGACGGAGTGGGAATAGGAGGAGAGGTTGAGGTGGAGTGGGAGGAGGAGATGATGGCGGAGGAGAAGAATGCAGAGTAGAGATGAAGAAGAAGAGGGTACTTGAAAAGAAAATATATCTAGAATTTAATTAAATCAAATTAAATATTATATTTTAATTGAATTGAATCGGTTCGATTCATTTATAAAAGCCTTTTTAAAAAAATCCTCGATGAAAATTAAATATGGGAGCTTTTATTATATAATAAAAAAAGCCCATCGCTAAGGCAGCAAATCCCACATATCTGACCCGATCACCGACGCATCGAATCATGCGGCCGAGATCGCGGACTCGGCCTCCCAGGAGGCGGGCCCCCACCGCGTCCAATGGTGGGGGTAAAAGTGGGGGCTACCCGGCGGATAAAACAAGAGGCCGGGGTATTCCGGTACTTTACTGGGGCTCCTATTCCTCTCTGACAGTATCCCATCCCCACTCCGTAACCGCACTCGATAAGCCTCCCTCCGCGCTTACTCCGACGCCCACGGCCCTCCCGCTCCATCCCTCCGCCTCCCTTCCTAGGGTTTCCCGAGCTCCCCACTCGTGGTCCCCAATGCGGCGCCATCGCCCCCTCCCCGGCCCGATCCTGACCACGTAGGGCCTCCGGGAGCCCCGCGCTGGGGGGTGGATCTCCGGTCCTGGCTTCCTCGCTTCTGTTCTCCGTTTGATGAGCCGCGGTTCGGACTTCACCGCGGATTTTGGGGTTTCCGGAGACTTCTTCCTCCTCCTCTTGCTCTTCTTGCTGTTTGTCCTCTTGGTTTTCTTCCTGTTCCTCGTCTCCCTTGTGCTCTTTGGGTTCCTCGTCCTTCTCGCTCTCTCTCGCCTACTCCTTGAATGAGTCCTCGCGTTTGGAGCTTCTGAAGCTGGAAAAGATTTGGATATTGCAGCCGTTTGGTAAAAAGGAGGAGGGGTCTGCTCGGGTTTGAGCTTCGGAAGCAAAGTTAGTTTGGGATTTTTCCGGTTCTTTGAGAGGATTTAATGGACCTCCTCAAGGTAAGAAGGTTTCGAGGCATTGGTAAGTTGAAAGGGAGGAAAGATGCGAATCAGGAGCGGGATGAGTTGTCGTCGGGGCCGGAAGAGCAGAAAGATGAGAGCTTGGATGCAATGTCGAAGCCAGCTGCTGTTGATACTGCTGTGGAGGGCGGTGAGGATGAGGATGATGACGATTTCATCACGAATGAGGTGAAGAGGCGGCTGAAGGAGCTGAGGAAGAACAGTTTTATGGTGCTTATACCAGAAGAAGGGTTACCGGAAGAGGACGAGGAGGAGGAGAGTAGCTCGAGCGGGTGGAGGGAGTCAGAAGTGGGTGTTGGGCATACGTGGTGCAGATTTGACACATTGTATGACAAGTACTGCGAGCGGATGCTGTTCTTTGATAAGCTGATCAATCAACATCTCAAAGAAGCTGGTATGGTGTTGAGCTGTCGGCTAAATAATCATGTTGTCCCCTTCTAGCTTGGAATGAACTCAGTTGATGACTGCTTTATTACTATACCGTTTATTGTCAATTGCATGTTTCTTTCAGCAACGGTGTCCTCCCTTGGTGTTGCTTTTAATACTTCAAAATTGATTGAGGATCTTCCTCTTAAGTTGTACAATCAAACAGCTTCATTCTTTAAATGATCTCAGATGAATTTTATCCATGTATCAACTTTACCCTTCTTAAAAATGGATCTATTGCTTCTGCTGTTTTAGCTGCTTTTGTGATGCTAAATTGTAACTAATATCAGCTATCTCTTTAGATTTTGTGAGCTGATGATGACATGCATGATGTGACAGGATCTTGGGGTACTTCAAGGCATTCACCAAGATCTTTATCAAAGAAGTTATCTCTGGGCCTCCGCAGCCTCCCTTTCAAGAGACAAGATGAACTTCAGGAGGACTGCGAAAATCTGCAGCAACTGCAGGAAGATAACCCATGCCTGAATCTTGAAGTTGCTTATGTTGCACAAGTTTGTTTAAGTTGGGAGGCACTTCATTGCCAATACATGCAACTGAGCCAGAAGCTTTCATCGCAGCCTGAGAGTAGCACCTCCTATAGCTATGCTGCTCAAGCATTCCAGCAATTCCAGGTTCTGTTGCAGAGATTTATCGAGAACGAACCATTTGAGCAAGGACCCAGGATGGAGATTTATGCCCATGCCCGGATTTTACTACCTAAGTTGCTTCAGGTCCCAAATTTTTTAGGTAAATGATAAGACTCAAAAGATCTTTAGTCAATTCAGCTGTTGTTCAATAGAAATTCAAATGGATCATTTGTCCAACAACTAACTGAAATCTACCTGATTTTAACTATGTGCCAAACTAACACACATCTGAACACATTCTTGCTGTTTATGGCATTTATCTTATGATCACACTCAAGGTTATTTAATTCAAGTTAGTACCACTTTGAAGATTGTTTGTTCATGAGTTGTTGTATGTTGGTTTAAGTTAGGTGACACTGTGGGCATCAAGAGGAGTTCCATCTGCTAATATGTCACAAGTTGAGATGTTCCTTGTGATTTACATGTTGAAGAATGATTCGAAGATTTGTATTAAATTCATTGACCATCTAAAACCATAAAAAGTTTGACATTCATCAAAAGGCTCAAAGTTTTAATAGATTGAATTATTTGTGAATTCCATTTGCCCTGTAATTTTTATTCAAATATACTCTTAAATGTTATTGAAGTATATGTTCTCATCAGTTACAGCTAATTATAATTTACATTTATCATGAATCAATCATCTACTAGAGGGAGGGCCTAGCCATTGATGTAAGTAGTTAAACCCAAATTATTCGGTTGGTTGGTTCTTCTGGTCATGAGAAATTGTATGGAGGTAACTATGTGGGCCTTCTGAATGGCTCAGATACCTCTAAATATTGTTTTCAGGTGAGCCACATTTAGACTGTACAGGAAGGATCACAGCCCTCCATTAGTTTATTTTTCTGCTGATAGCATATTTTAGCAGCATACGGAACATTGGGGCCTTCACCATGACTCCATTTCTCTTTGATGTTTCACTCTTGCTTTAAGGTCTGGATCTGAAAGAAAATGTGGAGGTTGATTCAGACAAACCAATTCTTGCCATTGACCTTATTAAGATAATAGAGGATTCAATCTTAACATTCCGCCTTTTCCTGAAGATGGACAAGAAAAAGTCAGGTGGCTTCTTTCGAGCTCATAGCCCTCGAAGCTCCCTTCAGCAAGTGCAAGCTTCGCTTGAAAAGGTATGTTACATGTTAGTAGCTCATGTTTGTTTCGTCAGTACATGGTTTATTGTGCTTCCAGTAGGAGAAGAGAACCCACCATTGGGATGTTTCCCGAGCGAAGAATCAAAACTGCTGTTTCCATTTATAGGTGCTTTTTGTGTTCTAAGCTATGAAGTCCCCAAACACAGTGTCCCTTAAAATTATCTTGCATGCCTGTCAACTGGTGATCCCCCAAGCTTTCATCCTTGTTTAAATACTTGCATTGTGGCTTTATGAACAGATTCTCTTTTTGTTGTGCCCAATGAACTATTCAAGTAAATGCCTTCCAAATGCATTTTACATTAAGATGCAAGCTGGCCTGAAAATGCACCAACAAAGATGGAAGAATGATACACTGAAATTCTTGTCCTGTGGCCATCAGCAGCAACCTTGAAATGACTTTTAACCTTTGGCTTTATTTGTTTAATAAATTACTGATTATTTGTCTTTTAGGATTGCTAACCTTTATAAGTATAAATGATGTAATAGTTGGTTGCCATAGCTTAGGAACTGCAGCATCATATCTATTGGACCCTTTGGTTACTACACCAAAAACTACATGAATCTAGTACCCATTGGCTTTGAACTGCAGAAGGAGATCAAAGTGAAGGAACTGTTCAAAAAGACGAAAGGATGGAAGAAGAAAACCTGGCCAGCAACCATAGGGGAAGTGGAATTGCTCTTCACACTCATCGACATCAAAGTCATATCAAGAGTTCTGAGGATGGAACGGCTCACCAAGGAGCAGCTGTTATGGTGCGAAGAAAAGATGAGCAAGCTCGACCTCTCGGACAACAAGCTCCACAGAGTTGGTACTCCCCTCCTCTTCCCTTGTTGATGGTGCACTACTTTTCTCCCCTCTGCCTCTAGTATAACTATCAGACACTTTATCTGCCTTTCCATGTATGAAATATATGGGTAAAAGCATAAGTTCTTCCTGCAGTAGCCTCCCAATATTCATGATCCATAAACCTCTTGTTCATCGCTCCAGTGTTTCCCTGGATCACACTCACTTGTAGGACTCACTTGCAACCTTTTGCTCCCTCAAGTATGATCTACACTATGGTCTCTCTACCTGCTTCATTTTTATGACTTGAATCATGATCATACTTATTGCAAATAAGCAAAATTCGAGGACACATTGAAGTAGAGCTTCGAAATGACATCAAGACCTACATAATAAATAATTTTTATTTTGTCAAGATTCAGTGCACTTGGGAATGAGGAACACTTTTTTCCTTCCTGACCTAACTTGATCGATTGCCGTCCTGCTTCAAGCTAGTTGCATGGATTCAGCATTAAAGAGCAAGAAGAAGAGGCTTCTTTTGATGCACACCAAGCCTCTGCCAAATGTACTGCTTCCCTGTTGCATTGCAGTACCTTCTCCAACATCCCCAAAACGCTTGGGAATCAGAGGAGGAAGACTATGTTCAATGCTTGTGACTCGCGAGGCACAGTCCCCTACTTTGCAATCCATCCCCATACTTAACTCGATTAGCTTTGGTGGGATGGAGATAAGTTAACCGTTCGTTAAAACGCTTCCATCAAGTCACTGGTCGTCAAGCTCGTCGTGACCTTCGTCTCTACGCCATATTTGCATCGTGAGACCGCACGAGCCGGGAATTCGGTCGAACGAGTTGTCGGCGTCGTCGGACCTCCCCGTAAAATTTGCCCAACTCGAACCAGAATTCGCGGACCGGGTCCAATAGCCGGTTCGACAACCCCGGCTCGCTAATCGGCGTCGCAAGTCTTAGAACACCCCCAGGATTTCTTTTATTCACGAAATTATCCTAATAGTGCTTCAACGAACATTTCACCGGTAGTGGGGGTGATCGTAATTTAGTTGACATTCGAGGGTATTTAGTTCAATCATCAAATTATTGAACAATATGGTTATTCGTTTATGATTTGTAGAATCTCGTAAAGAATCTCTTTATATATATAAAGTTAATACTATCTACATTGATTCTCCCCATTAAACATCAACAAGCTTATCTTGAAGATTCAGATCTTAACTTTCCTCTATCTAAATAATAGCAAATTTAGATTTGAATAGAGGTGTATTTGGCACAAGCAAATCCTCCCCTAAATCTCTCCTTGATGTTGTTCTACAACAACAGTATATTCCCCTTATATTTTTTGGGAACCCTCCTTCACCCTAATAACATACTCTCTCTCTCTCTCTCTCTCTCTCATGTTTAATATAGAGACTGCGTTAGGTTAAAGCCTCCTGTCTTCGATG